GTGTTGAGGTTGGACGGGGTTGCTTAGGGCCTTGCCCAGCTGAGGTTTGATTAATTGTGTTGATACTCTAAAGACAAATCCCACAGCTTCTTCAAGCCCATCACAAAGTTTCCCCACTCATGGGGATTTTCTTTTTCCCTAATAGCTAAACACAACTTCCCCGTGTGGCAGTTTGCTGCCACTTGTCCTTTTGCCCTACTCCAAGAAGAGCCTGGATCTACAACCACCCATTACATAGTTGAAGTGAGCACAAAGCCAATCACTGAGCACTGGGAGATCTCCAACTGCATTGGAATTTTTCTGGTACCTCTTGAACCTTTTCTTGATGAGACAGTCAGTGAGATGAAACACTGGATGATAAGATACAGAGCCTGCCATGATATCTAATTCACTCCTAAATATACTATGGAAGTTAACTGCTGTTGGCAGTAAGAGTAATTAAGAAATGGATTAATTTGGCACTAGTTCATTGGGGGGATGAAAACAGGCTGTAAAGCAGTTTGGAGCTTTCTCTAGTTGGTGAACTCTTTACCATTTAGTCTCATTACGTGTGGCTTCTTTCTGACTTGTCCTTCATCTCCTCCTCTCCAGGATGACTTGGCAAGAGCTGCTGCCTATTCTATCCGGTCCATTTATGACACCACCTTTAAAGTGGGGAGCATCTGCAAAACTATCTGTGAGTATTTTGCTGGTCTGAGCCTTTATGGGCTGTCTCTGTCCCCCATTCTAGGTCTCTCCCTCTTGGAAGCAGTGATGCTTCTGTAGAGCAACACCGTCAGTCAAACATTAGAGCTGAAGCTTCACATAAGAAGCCAGTACTCATCCCTCACAAATATAAAAGGTAGGATACCAGAACTCAATCAATCCTCTTTTCACCCTGTGGATCTTCTCCCTTTCTCTTTCAGACCAAGCCAGTGGAGGCAGCATTGACTGGAGCTACGATTACGGCATCAAATACTCTTTTGCCTTTGAGCTGCGAGACACAGGTCGCTTTGGTTTCCTCCTGCCAGCCAACCAGATTATCCCAACTGCAGAGGAGACCTGGCTGGGCCTGAAAACAATCATGGAACACGTGCGAGACAATCCCTACTGAAAGCTGGGGTGGGATTGAGCTTTCTGTAAGGAGCAAGCTCATAAATCCTCTTCCCTTTTTGTGCTTGTGACAGCTGTAATGATATGAATCATAGAATGGTTTGGGTTGGAAAGGACTTTAAAGCTCCACCAGCTCCAAACCCCTGCCATGGGCAGGGACACCTTCCACTGGAGCAGCTTGCTCCAAGCCCCTGTGTCCAACCTGGCCTTGAACACTGCCAGGGATGGGGCAGCCACAGCTTCTCTGGGCACCCTGTGCCAGCGCCTCAGCACCCCACAGGGAAGAGCTTCTGCCTAAGAGCTCAGCTCAGTCTCCCCTCGGGCAGGTTCAAGCCATTCCCCTTGGCCTGTCCCTACAGGCCCTTGTCCCAAGCCCCTCTCCAGCTTTCCTGCAGCCCCTTTAGGCACTGGAGCTGCTCTAAGGTCTCCCCTTCAGGAGCCTTCTCTTCCCCAGGCTGCCCCAGCCCAGCTCTCTCAGCCTGGCTCCAGAGCAGAGCTGCTCCAGCCATCGCAGCATCTCCATGGCCTCCTCTGGACCTGCTCATATGGCACGATGGCATCTGGCTGAATAAAACCCCTGTGTGCATTCTTCCTACAGCAACATGTGTCTGCATATGAAAAGCATTTAATGCTTGTCCTGTTCACTTCCACTCTATGTGCATGGTAGATCCATTAGAAGATTTTAGGATGCAGTTGTGGCCCACCTCAATGAGATGCAGTAGGAACAGTGACGAGAGGAGGATGGATGGTGTGAGCACTTGTGTGGCTGTTGAGATTTCAGAGGAGTGACGTCCAGTGAGATGAAGAGATCTGGTCTTTCCCACATGGATAAACAAGGAGAACTGGGGGGGTTACCTGGGCCTGCCTCATACTCTGCTCCAGTGGTGTTTAGAGAGAACAGGGAAGAACTTCTCTATTTATTTCACATATAAGCTCCATGTTGCTGCTCTTGTAAGCCAAGCTCTCAGAGAGCTCACTTCTGGAAGCAGAACAAGCTGGTGCAGAAGTGATGATGATCAGCAGCATAATCCCGGTTAGGAGACTGATTAAAGGAACTTGGTTTCCTTTCATGAGCCTCAGGATGCTGCCTGGTGGGAAGGGGCTCTCCTGGCCTAACATCCCCCATATACTTGTCCTGTCCCTTGCCTCCCTCCTGGATTTGCCCGTGCTTAGAGGGAGGATGGAGAGGGGCAGACTCCTGCTCTCACCCAGCATGGCCAGTTTGCAATCCCTCAGGAGTCCCCCTCCCTCATCCTGCTCTTCATCCTGCTCATTTCTTGGGAATGAAGAGCAGACAGCTCAGGGCTGTGCACAGGACATGGAAAGGGTCGAGTTTAGCAATCCCTGCTGCTGCAGTGATTATCAATCAGCTCTAACAGGTTTATCTCCGTGTCTTGTGATCTCCCAGCAGCTGGTGAGTTACTCACTGCTCCGTGAGCTTGGCAGCAGGCAAAACTACGTGATGTAGTGGGTGAAATGTTGGTTCAGGTTGAAGGACACGAGATTATGGCAGGGAAAGGAAGGTGAAGGTGAGTTCGAGGCATTGAGAAGAGCCACGTGGGTTTGGTTTGGGGTTAAGTGCAGATGTTTTCAAAAGCAGCTGGAGCTTCCCCATGTGTGTCCCCATCCCCTCTGCTCCTGGCATCTGCTTCCCAAACTGACCCACACTTCCAAAATCCCATCTTCCAGATGGGGATTACAACCAACACTGGTAAATCCCAACTGGTGGGGAGGGTCCAGGGCCCAGGTTGGCTTTTGGTCCTGGCCAACCTGTTGCCACCAGAGGGGGACCTTGTGGCAAGTGGGGAGGAGCTGCAGAGCCTGAGGAGCCTCAGATGGTGATGTAGACCTAAAGCTTATTCCAACCATCCAGGTCTGAGGCCACCCAGCCCCTCTTCTACTAAATGTGTGCTTTGGTGACAACTGCATCCAGCTTGGCACTGAATAGACCTGAAGGAAGACCAGTGGGGGTCACCAAGAGGAACAGGAGGATGTGTCTCCTGGTGGGATGCTGAGATGGGCTGGTTTGGCCTGGAGATGAGACAGCTTTGGGGTGGGGGGACCTAATGAGAACACTCCCATCCATAGAAAGAGGTTATTGAGAACATGGAACCGAGCTCTTCATCATAAAGTGTGGTGGGAGAGACAACAGCATCAATTGAAACAAGAGAGGGACAGGCTGGACATGAGAAAATGCTTCTCTATTGGGAGGACAGGCCAGCAATGGGACACATTGACCTTCACCTGGTACCCCTGGCCAGGACCAGCTCACCAACATCAGAAGGAGCACAAGCAGCAGCTCAGGGAGGGGATCCTGCCCCTCTGCTGTGCTCTGGGGAGACCCCCCCTGCAGTCCTGATCCAGCTCTGGGGCAGCAGCACAAGAGGGACGTGGAGCTGTTGGAGCGAGTGCAGAGGAGGCCATGGAGATGCTGCGAGGGCTGGAGCAGCTCTGCTCTGGAGCCAGGCTGAGAGAGCTGGGCTGGGGCAGCCTGGAGAAGAGAAGGCTCCTGAAGGGGAGACCTTAGAGCAGCTCCAGTGCCTAAAGGGGCTGCAGGAAAGCTGGAGAGGGGCTTGGGACAAGGGCCTGTAGGGACAGGCCAAGGGGAATGGCTTGAACCTGCCCGAGGGGAGACTGAGCTGAGCTCTTAGGCAGAAGCTCTTCCCTGTGAGGGTGCTGAGGCGCTGGCACAGGGTGCCCAGAGAAGCTGTGGCTGCCCCATCCCTGGCAGTGCTCAAGGCCAGGTTGGACACAGGGGCTTGGAGCAAGCTGCTCTAGTGGAAGGGGTCCCTGCCCATGGCAAGGGGTTGGGAATGGGGGAGCTTTAAGCTCCCGTCTGACCCACACTTGTCTGGGATTCTGTCATGGTTCTGCATTTTGAAACCACAATGGACCCCCGGCTGCAGCTCCATCCCTGCCGCACACACTGCTGTTGGTGCAACTGGAAAAACAACCTGATTTTATTGGGAAAAACAATGGATGCTGGCTACAAACCTGACTGAGGGGCTGGGAACCCAGCCCAGGAGCTCAGAGCATCCTTGACAAGCACAGACAAGAGCTCAGGGCACTGCAGATAAACACACAACAAAGACCCTGCTATAACCTGCAGAACAAAGAGGCTGCTATAACCTGGGGAACAAAGAAACCTCTGTAAGGAACTGACCTCCTGAGGCAGCAGAAGTCAGCTGCAGGTGCCCAGGAGCTTCTGTCCTGCACCCACGCTTGTATGTAAACTAAAAGACATAAAATAACTCATTTTCTACCCAAAACTAACCCATTATTCTCTCTCTCTTTGAGCATTACCTCCAGGTTATCATCCCTGTGTGACCCCTGGAGCCTTACTGGGGACGTGTGGCTTTGGGCTCTGTGACATCCATCAGCTTTGACGTGAGACTTCATCCATCATCAGCTGGCCCCACTCCTGGAGGATCAGCACCGGTAAGAATTTGAATGGTAGCTTTTGAGTTATATGTCATATATATGTGTGCATATAAGTAGTTAATTGTAAATATAAATTAGGTTTATATGCTTTCCTATTGGTATTTTGTAGTAATCTTGTAGTAACTTGTAGTAATCTTGTAGTAACTGGTAATATACACTCGCTTTACTCACCATAACTGACTTACTGATAGTGATCTGTAATAAAGGAATTAATGGGAACAAAGTGTACCCCAGGCTTCTACAACCTCACTGTCGCCACCATCCCACACCCATGGGATGTCACACTTGGTGTGACAGTGACTCACCCCAAGCTGGGTGCATGGGTACACATCCTCCCTGGCTGCCTGCACTGAGGAAGCCATACATCATCAGATCCTCCCTGTTTTGGCTGTTCTTGTCCAGCTGGAGCAAACATCTGGGCTCCTGGAGCTGTTCCTAACCTGTCACTGCTGGCACCGTGGGACAGATGTGGCCCTGCTGAGAAGGTCCAGGAATGGCTGAGGCTCGGCTGTGTCTGCTCACCATGAAAATCCTCCTGGTCTCTGCCTCCCTCGTGGCAGCCGCCTGCAGTGTGCAGCTCTTCGTGGGGTGAGTCCTGCTGGAAGCAAGGGGGGGGACACCATGGATGGGGAAGGGGACCAGGGTGAGAGATACCCAGACCTGTCTGTTCTCCTTTGGGATCAGACAGGAAGGATGGCATCCCACAGGGGGTGAAATCCAGCAGGGTTTGGTATATGGACATTGGAAATGCTGTAGTTTAACCCATCCTTGTGGAGCCCAGCCAGGCTGGAGTGGAAGCTGTATTGGGAAATACCTGAACATATCAACAGCCCTTGATAGGCCAAGGGGAATGGCTTGAACCTGCCCGAGGGGAGACTGAGATGAGCTCTTAGGCAGAAGCTCTACCCTGTGAGGGTGCTGAGGCGCTGGCACAGGGTGCCCAGAGAAGCTGTGGCTGCCCCATCCCTGGCAGTGTTCAAGGCCAGGTTGGACACAGGGGCTTGGAGCAAGCTGCTCCAGTGGAAGGGGTCCCTGCCTGTGGCAGGGGTTGGGACTGGATGAGCTTTAAGCTCCCTTCCAACACAAACCAGTCTGGGATTCCATGATATTATGATACAGGCAGAATATATTGATATATAGGATATCCCCTAACATTTTGGGTGTTCTTATGATGAAAGGAAGGATGGAGACCACCTCAGGTTCTCCAGCACTTGCTTCTTTGCCCTATCTTGGCTGTTCTGAACCTGCACTTTTCACTTCCAACATCCAACCTCCAACCACTGGTGGACTTTCCAGCCCACTGAGCCAGTGCAGACCTTTCACAGGCTCCACCCAGACCACGATGGCATCACATCAACACTGGAAGCTTAGCTCCTTTCCCCCTCCAGTGAGTCCATCTCATGCTGATGGCTCTGCCTCCCTGCAGGGACCAGGTCCTCCGCATCATGGCCAGCAATGAGGAGCAGATTGCCGTGCTCAGGGCGCTGGGCGAGCAGACAGAGCTGCAGGTGAGCTGTGGTGGGGCCCTGAGCATCCCCTGATGTGGAACAGAGACCCTGGTGACACCCAGGACCTCCTTATGACCTCACATCCAATTTTCCTTCCCATTTTATATATATAAAGAATTCATAACTATATAAATATAATATTTAGCTTGGGGGACCTTGAGCTTGGCTGTTCTGTTTCACAGAACCATGGAATCAGCTGGGTTGGAAAAGCCCTTTAAGCTCATCCAGTCCAACCATTCCCAGCACTGCCAAGGCCACCACTAACCACATTTCACATGAAGCAGGGACACCCTGGACGCACAGCAGCATTGCCATATCCAGGTTGAGAATCCTTGTCAAAAATGCCATTGGTTTTGACTTGAATGAACTTTAAGGCTGAGCTGGTCAGGGTGCTGGGACACCGGTCTTGGTCATGCTTTGCCTAGAAAGCTTGGATCCCATGATCCTTAGTCCCTTCCAACCTGGGATTCTGTGATTCTATGCCCCTGACCCATTCTGATACCCATGTGTGTGATTTGGAGAAATCTCCAGGCACAAACTGGCCAACAGAGTTTCAAGCTGACAAGCAGGTATTCTTTATTGTGGTGCTGGAGACACGGGGGATAACTCCTCCTAACGTGTGACCCCATATTGCTACACAAGCCATCCTTATATAGTCCATGGGCACACATACATAGTGATGAGGCTACACATGAATTACATCATTTCCCAGAGTTTTTGCATACAAAAATGTGATGGTGATCTTTGAGGGTTGTTTAGTTTTCCCAACAATTTTCATAACCAGCTTAATGAACATTACAGACATAGCAGTCATCCTGTCCTTCTACTTCTCAGTTAGTTTAACTGCTCCCATCCTGGACATCTGCTAGTCCCAAATACTCCCCATCCCCAGGTGCAATTTTTCTATTCTGCTTTTCATACACTTTTTGTACTGAGGTCCTAAGGACCTAAAATGATGTCAACTACCTTCAAGCATTGCAGTTATTTTCCATTACAAAGCCATCAAACTTTGCCATCCAGAGGGACCTTGACACGCTTGTGAGGTGGGCTGATGCCAACCTCATGAAGTTTAACCATGCCAAGTGCAAGGTCCTACACCTGGATGGGAGCAATCCCAGGCACAGCTACAGGCTGGGCAGAGAAGAGATTCAGAGCAGCCCAAGGAGAAGGACTTGGGGGTGCTGGTCGATGAGAAAATGAAAAGGAGCCGGCTTCAGTGTGCGCTCGCAGCCCAGAAAGCAACCGTATCCTGGGCTGCATCAAAAGGAGCGTGACCAGCAGGTCGAAGGAGGTGATCCTGCCCCTTTACTCTGCTCTTGTGAGACCTAACCTGGAGTATTGTGTGCAGTTCTGGTGTCCTCAACATAAAAAGGACATGGAGCTGTTGGAACAAGTCCAGAGGAGGCCACGAGGATGATCAGGGGACTGGAGCACCTCCTGTATGAAGACAGGCTGAGAAAGTTGGGGCTGTTCAGCCTGGAGAAGAGAAGGCTGCGTGGAGACCTCAGAGCAGCCTTCCAGTATCTGAAGGGGGCCTATAGGGATGCTGGGGAGGGACTCTTCATTAGGGACTGTAGTGATAGGACAAGGGGTAATGCGTTAAAACTGAAACAGGGGAGGTTTAGATTGGATATAAGCAGGAAATTCTTTCCTGTGAGGGTGGTGAGGCACTGGAATGGGTTGCCCAGGGAGGTTGTGAATGCTCCATCCCTGGCAGTGTTCAAGGCCAGGTTGGACAGAGCCATGGGTGATATGGTTTAGAGTGAGGTGTCCCTGCCCATGGCAGGGGGGTTGGAACTGGATGATCTTAAGGTCCTTTCCAACCCTAACTATCCTATGATTGTGTGCTTTTTTGTGCCTCCTTGTCTCATGTGTCCCCAAAACTTGTCCAAAGACCTTTCTACCCCTTTGGGTGCTGTGGAGCTCAGTGGATGAGCACCAGCACAGGATGAGGCTGAGCTCTCTCCTCCACACCAGGTTGACTTCTGGCGTCACCCTTCCAGCCCTGGCCACCCAACCGACCTGCGGGTGCCCTTCCCCAGCCTCCAGGCAGTCAAAACCCTCCTGGAGTCCAATGGCATTTCCTACAGCATCATGATCCAGGACCTGCAGGTGAGAGCTGCGGTGGGAGCGGGATGAGTTCCTGCACTTCAATCCCAAATGGAAGGTCCAGAAAGCTGGAAACCAGGAGGAGGTGGAAGAAGAACCCACCCCCTGCTCCCTGTTGGATGGCTTGTTTTTCTCCTCCTGAACAGAAACTAGTGGATGAGGAGAAGAAAGCCATGGCGAAGCCAAGGAGGACAAAGAAGAGCACCAGCACGTTCAATTTTGCCTCTTACCACACGATAGATGAGGTACTTTGCTTTGTAGAGCATTCACTTCACCTTGGTGGGGACATTCTCAGGCCATGCTTGCATCCATGCAGTGACGTTCATGGTAGTAGGTGCCCCCCAGCACATGAAACTCCTCCTTGGACAGAGGTTTTAGGTGAGCCAGGAGGCTGGGAATCCCTCCATGAGCAGTGTGGGCTCTCCTGGCCTCTCCCACCTTGCTGGAAGACAACTTCATTTGGGGGTTCAAAGTCTGTGCTTGAAGGATGTTCAGGTCAGCTATAAGGCAGTTCTTCCCTGTGAGGGTGCTGAGGCGCTGGCACGGGGTGCCCAGAGAAGCTGTGGCTGCCCCATCCCTGGCAGTGTTCAAGGCCAGGCTGGAGCAACCTGGTCTCTAAGGAAGCACCACATCTTCTCTGCAAGTTCCATCTGGTGCTGGATACTCCAAAACCCACAGGGAAACCCTGGGTGAGCTTCAGCAGCTCCTCCTTTCAGATCTACGACTGGATGGACACGCTGGTGGCCGCTCATCCCAACCTTGTCAGCAAGCTCCAGATCGGGCAGAGCTATGAGAACAGATCCCTGTATGTGCTGAAGGTGGGTACAGGGGGAATCATAGCATCATAGAATAGTTAGGGTTGGAAAGGACCTTAAGATCATCAAGTTCCAACCCCCCTGCCATGGGCAGGGACACCTCGCACTAAACCATATCACCCAAGGCCTCGTCCAACCTGGCCTTGAACACTGCCAGGGATGGAGCATTCACAACCTCCCTGGGCAACCCATTCCAGTGCCTCACCACCCTAACAGGAAAGAATTTCCTCCTTATATCCAATCTAAACTTCCCCTGTTTAAGTTTTAACCCATTACCCCTTGTCCTATCACTACAGTCCCTAATGAAGAGTCCATCCCCAGCATCCCTATAGGCCCCCTTCAGACACTGGAAGGCTGCTATGAGGTCTCCACGCAGCCTTCTCTTCTCCAGGCTGAACAGCCCCAACTTTCTCAGCCGATCTTCATCCTCTCCTTGCCCGGCCCTGGGAGGACACAGGGATGAAATCCCTCCCTTTCCATGCAGTTCAGCACCGGGGGATCCAACCGGTCGGCCATCTGGCTGGACACTGGTATCCACTCCCGGGAATGGATCACACAAGCCACTGGTGCCTGGACAGCCAACAAGGTACCCACATGCCCTGGGATAAGGGACATCCATCCTCACACCTCCCTGTGGTCACATCCCTTATGCCCAAGGGACACTGAGGTAGCTCCTGCTCCTCTTCCCATGCAGATCGCTGAGGAGTACGGCCAGGACCCCTCTGTCACCGCCGTCCTGGACAGCATGGACATCTTCTTGGAGATCATCACCAACCCCGATGGCTTTGCCTACACCCACAGCTCTGTGAGTACAGGGACTTGTCCTAGTGCTTTGTGGTTGGCCACGGTTTTTGGGAGGGGAGCAATGTTCCTTCTGTGTGGGATGGTGGATGGGTGGTTTCCTCCTCTCCCTGAAGATCATACAATCAACCAGGCTGGAAAAGCCCTTTAAGCTCATCCAGCCCAACCATTCCCAGCACTGCCAAGGCCACCACTGACCCATGGCACTGAGGCCTCGTCTCCACGCTGTGTGAGCACTTGCAGGGACGGTGCCTGCAGCCCTGCCCTGGGCAGCCTGTTCCAATGCCTGAGCACCCTCTGGGGCAGGAATTGTTCCTCAGCTCCATCTAAACCTGCCCTGGTGCAGCTTGAGGCCGGTTCCTCTTGCTGCTCAGGCAGGAGGGTGGCATCTGTCCCCACAAGGAGGTGGGATTCACATCCCTGCAATGGTCTCACCCCATCTGCTCCTAGAACCGCATGTGGCGCAAGACGAGGTCCATCAATGCCGGCTCCCGCTGCATCGGTGTGGATCCCAACCGGAACTGGGACGCTGGGTTTGGAGGTGAGAGCTGGGGCCACCAGGTCCCCACACTGAGCATCACTTGTGCCTCAAAGCTCCCTGCTATAGGGGAGAAACCTGGGGGCTAAAACCCTTCCCCAGGGGAGCTTCTCTGCACCACCTTCACCATGCCCCAGGCTCTGGCTCCAGCAGCAACCCCTGCTCTGAGACCTACCGTGGTCCTTATGCCCACTCCGAGAGGGAAGTGAAAGCCATTGCAGACTTCATCCTTGGTCATGGGAACGTGAAGTTGGTCATCTCCATCCACAGCTACTCCCAGATGCTGCTTTACCCCTATGGCTACAAGACAGCACCCGCACCCGACCACCAGGAGCTGGTGAGATGGTCCCAACACGTAGACATGGGGCTGTGAGCACCAGCCTGGTGGAAAAGTCCGCTTGGATCATTCCAGAACCCTGCTCCTCTTCTTAAAGCCGCCCTGAAGCCCATCAATTGGTTCTTGGAATCATAGAATCAACCAGGTTGGAAAAGAACTTTAAGATCATCAAGTCCAACCGTTGCCCAGCACTGCCAAGGCCACCACTAAAAAAAAGGGAGGGTGATAACAGGATGTACCTCCCATTCATCAAAAATGAGGGTGTTTTGGGGAAAAGCAGGAGCAGAGGGGTTGGAAAACTGCTGGGATCTAGGCTCTGCTGCCCCAAGGTCTCACAACTTTGGGGGTCTCCCTTGCAGCATGAAGTGGCTAAAAAGGCAGTGAGTGACTTGGCTGCTGTGTATGGGACAAAGTACACCTACGGCAGCATCGTGAACACCATCTGTAAGTGTTCCTTCCCCATCCCACAGCGCTGTGTGCACCAGGAATGCTCAGTGTTGGGATCACACCTCCCCTCCTCTCCCTGCAGACCTGGCCGATGGCACCACCATTGACTGGACCTATGACCACGGGGTGAAATACTCCTTCACATTGGAGCTGAGGGACATGGGGTACTATGGCTTCCTCCTGCCCAGCACCCAGATCATCCCCACTGCTACTGAGACCTGGGCAGCGCTGCTGAACATCATGGTCCACGTCCTGGAGCATCCATACTGAACCCTCCTATCAATAAACAGACCTGGATTTAAGGCTGGCACCTTTATGTTTCTGTGCTAGACCCCCAAAAAGGGGTGAAAAAGGACTCTCAGACCTGCAGATGGTTGTATCCCTCCTCGTGGCTTTGGCCATACACGTCCCATCCATTGGGGCCAATAGCCCTGAAGGACCTGGGAGGAAATGAGTGGTTTTGGGGCTGCCAAACCCAAATCTGTGGGGTTTTGGGCAGCATTGCTCCATCATCCTTTCCCTGGGGGCTGCAAGGAGGGACTTTGGGCACCCTCAGGGCCATAGTGCTTTGAGGCACCTGGGATGCCCATCACTCACTCTGCTCTCTGTCCTGTGCTGGGCTTCAAACCAATTGTGCTGCTGTCACCACCACAACCATGGTTTAGGCATCAGGGGCACCGAGTCCTCTGCCCAAAAACCTGCACTTTGCACTTTCTCAACTCAAGTTTACCCTTTTCCACCCCAATGGCATGTGCTGCAGCCGGTGGGGTGGGATTCTGGCACCTCCCCACCTCTCACCCTACCCATGGGTGACTCAGCCACTTCCCAGAACAGATCTGGCTGGCACTGGGAATGCTGTGGAGGAGGGAACAATGGTGCTGCAGTGCCCGACCTTGGCTGGTGCCAGCCAGAACCTTGCCTGGGAAGGGGAGGTTTCCCTTGCCCTGGGAAAGGGGACAGCTGGTGGGGCTGGGCCGAGGCCACCATTCCCATGGGATTTAAGAGCTCTGTGGTGCTGCTGGGACACAGGAGAGGCTCTTCAGGCTGACAATGAAGGTCCTCGTGCTCCTGGCTGCCCTGGTGGCAGTGGCCACCAGCACCGAGACGTTTACTGGGTAGGATCTGGGTGGAGAGGGGAGGCTGGGATGTGGATGGTGGCACCGGTTGGGGCAGAAGGAACTGGTTCAGCTCCAAAGGGGCACAGATACTCCTGGGAAGAGGCTCAGAGCAAACCCCAGTGTGGTGGGATGGATGGGAGGGGGTTAGGCTGGACCCATGGCGGTGACCCCCTGATCCCACAGGCACCAAGTGCTGCGCATCATCCCCACCACCGAGGAGGAGCTGCAGAAGGTGCATGAGCTGCAGGATGTGGAGGAGCTGCAGGTATGGGTGCAATGGAAGCAGGGATCTTAGGGACACCCTTAAGACCCCCAAGTTCCTTGTTTTGCACCCCAAAACCACTCTGTAGAGCCTGGCTGGGGGTGCTGGATGTGGGGTGATGGTGACCAAATGGTGAAAAGCAAGACAGAAGCTGGTGCTTCTGGGGCAGCCCGAGGTGGGATCTGACCCCCTATATCTTTCCCTCCCCCTATAGCTGGACTTCTGGCTGGCACCTCGTGGCCCTGGGAACCCCGTGGACATCCGTGTGCCCCTGCCCAGTCTCCAGCCCCTCAAAGAGCACCTGGAGAACAACAAGATCTCCTACTCCGTCATGATTGAGGATGTGCAGGTCAGTGCTGGTGGAGGGGAGGTGGGGGAGATGTGGGTCTTGACGTGGGACAAGGCCTCATCCTGTTCCCTGTCCCCCAGGCACTGATGGAACACGAGCAGATGGAGATGCTGCATCGCCCCCGCCAACTGGTGCTCTCCACTGACAACTTCAACTTTGCTGCTTACCATACCCTGGATGAGGTGAGGAAGCACAAGATTTGGGGCATTTTGGGGGTAAAAACCCTCTTTGCTCCATGTGCTGCAGGGGGGGAGCTGGCTGTGACCCCCCCCTTTGCTCTCCTGCAGATCTACAACTTCATGGACCTGCTGGTGGCTGAGAACCCCAACCTGGTCAGCAAGCTCCAGATCGGCTGGTCCACAGAGGACCGTCCCCTCTACGTGCTCAAGGTGAGGGCTTGGGGTCCATGGGGTGACCCAAGGGGGGAATGGGGCCAGGGACAAAGCCAACACCACCCCCATCACCCCCTTTCTGCTCTTCCAGTTCAGCAGAGGGGGCACAAACCGCCCAGCCATCTGGATCGACACCGGCATCCACTCCCGGGAGTGGGTGACACAGGCCAGCGGGGTCTGGTTTGCCAAGAAGGTATGGACACCCCCAGGCCATGGCTGAGGTCCCCAATGGGCCACAAGGCCCTGCAGCCAACTATGGGTGCCAGAGGGTTGACCCCATAGAGAGGATGGTGCTCTGGGAGCAATGGGGACCATAAACCACCATCCACTCTCTAGATTGTCCAGGATCATGAGAACGATGAGGGTCTGGCCTCCATCCTGAATGAGATGGACATCTTCCTGGAGATCGTCACCAACCCTGATGGCTTTGTCTACACCCACACACAGGTACTGCCCTGGCCTCTATAGCCATGCTGGATGGGGCTGCTGTACATCAAAACCTCCTTGTCCACGTTTCCATGGGATGGAAGGGGACCACCATGACCCCATTATCCTCCCCATTCCCTCAGGGCTGGTGGAGCTCCAGCCCTGGCCCCCAGCTGAGATGTCTCTGCCATTCCAGAACCGTATGTGGCGCAAGACCAGGTCCAGGAACTCGGGCTCCCTTTGTGTTGGTGTGGACCCCAACCGCAACTGGAACGCAGGGTTTGGAGGTCAGAGCCATCCCATTTATTAGGTTCCACCATCAAGGTAGAAACTTTGAGGCCTTTTCTGGCTCAGAAAGATCCAGAAATAGCCCCTAGAGAAAAGATGTGATTTGGTTTCTGTGGCAGATGAGAATTGGGGCTGCACCAGGGTGTTAATGGGGATCACAATTGAAAGTCATCAGAGTTATCCAGGAGGAGCCCCAAAGTGTTCCTTGCTGGTTCAGGGGTGGGAGAAGCTTGGAAATGGAAAAAGGCCCTTTGCCCAACTGCCATTAACTTACCCTGTGCTCACTGTCCTCTGCTCCACAGAGGCTGGGGCCAGCAGGAACCCCTGCTCAGAGACATACCACGGACCCTATGCCAACTCAGAGCCCGAGGTGAGAGCCATCGTGGACTTTGTGAACAACCACGGGAACATCAAGGCTTTCATCTCCATCCACAGCTACTCCCAGCTCCTGCTCTACCCCTATGGCTACACCAGCACCCCAGCACCTGATCACAAGGAACTGGTAGGGCTGATGTGGGGGGCTGAAGGGGGTTGGGATGATGTGAGGCTGCTCTTTTCCTCCTAGGAGGAGCTCACCTATTGAGCTTTGACATCTTTTTTGCCTGTGGCACGAGGAAAAGCTTCTCCTGCAGGTTGTATCCCCCAGGGTTACCCTTTCTTTGGCTCATCTTTCTCCCTTCTGTGTATTCCTAGCACGAGATATCCAAGAAGGCAGTTGCAGCTCTGGGTTCTCTGTATGGCACTAGCTACAACTATGGCAGCATCTACAGCACCATCTGTAAGTGGGCAGGGGACAACAGTGATTCTCCCACAATAAACCCAAATCATCACTCACACCTCAGCTTAGACAGAAGATCCCATGAAATACCTGTCCAGCAGTGTCCTCCTGTTGTTTCTCCACCCAGATCAAGCCAGTGGATCTACTGTTGACTGGACATACAGCCAGGGCATTAAATACTCCTTCACCTTCGAGCTGCGGGACACAGGGCGCTACGGATTCCTGCTCCCTGCCAGCCAGATCATCCCAACAGCCCAGGAGACGTGGCTGGCGCTGAAGGTCATCATGCAGTACACGCTGGATCATCCCTACTAACCAGGAGCAGGTCCTGAGTGGTGATGGAATGAGCTGGAGGGGGGAAAATGCAATAAATCAATGTAAAGGATGAGAAATGCTTTTCTTTGGTTTCTCTTTTCCCAAATCATAGTGAAAAGTCTTTCTGGAGACCAACTTGGTGATAATCAGCCAACATGAGCAGTGTGCTGGCCCCAAAAGGGGATTAAATAGGCATAGAAATGTAGAATGGTTTGGGTTGGAAAGGACCTTAAGATCACCCAGTTCCAACCCCTGTCATAAGCAGGGACCTCACACTAGGCCATGTCCCCAAGGCTCTGGCCAACCTGACCTTAAAGCCTGGCATGGAAACAGTAGGATACAAAAGAAAGGAAGGTGCCCTCTGCTTCTGGAAGGGGAAGATGTTCAGTTTGAAACTTACTGGGCAAGCAGAGACCTAGGACGTGATGTATCCTGTGTCTTTGTGTGGTTGAACATCAACTTGTGGTGATAGAAAGGTCCCTCCTTGCCTGCTGTGATCCTTAGGGGAGGGAGAGCCCAGCCCCTGCTGACTCCCAGCTTCCATAGGCACCACTCCAGGCTCTCTGATAGCTCTCAGATTGAAAGAAGCACTCAACCACAAGGTGTTTAATTTAATAAAACCTAAATGACAATTAAAACTCCCAGAGTTTGACTTCATCCTCCAAAGAACATCAAGTCAAGAGGCCCCAAAGCATACAAATCCATCAAGACAACCAGAAAGTACATTCAGTTCTGGATCTGGAGAACCTCAAATCCCTCAGGCTAGTTCGGTCTGCCCGTTGCAGAAGGAGGTTTGCACACAGCCCTGAGCAGCTGTGCGTTTTGGATCAGTCTCCCACAGCAAAATCAGGACTTTCCCAGCTTTTGCTTCCAGATTTATTCAGTGGTGTAAGACACTGCTGCTTATTTCCATGGCCTGTTCTGGACGCTGTTCCTGCTGAATGAGCGGGCACTGAGCACTCCCCCATTGCCAGCAGTGCTGGGGAGACTGGGGCTGCTCCTCATGGCTGTTGCCTTGAAATTGCGTCTTGAAGAGCCACTGCTGAAACGGCCTGTGGGGAAAAGAAACAACCCAAAGGTCAGGAGCTGAGTGTAGGATGGAGCACGAGGACACACAAATGATGGATGAGCACCTTCCATATGGAGACAGGCTGAGAAAGTTGGGGCTGTTCAGCCTGGAGAAGAGAAGGCTGCGTGGAGACCTCATAGCAGCTTCCAGTATCTGAAGGGGGCCTATAAGGATGCGAGGAATGGACTCTTCATTAGGGACTGGAGTGATAGGACAAGGCGTAATAGGTTCAAACTGAAACAGGGGAAGTTCAGGTTGGAGATAAGGCAGAAGCTCTTCCCTGTGAGGGTGCTGAGGCGCTGGCACAGGGTGCCCAGAGAAGCTGTGGCTGCCCCATCCCTGGCAGTGTTCAAGGCCAGGTTGGACACAGGGGCTTGGAGCAAGCTGCTCTAGTGGAAGGGGTCCCTGCCCATGGCAGGGGTTGGAACTGGAGGAGCTTTAAGGTCCCTTCCAACCCAGATCAGGCTGGGATTCTATGATCTGCTGTCCCTTGCTGCCTCTCCAGCTCTCCCTGTAAACATACAGACCCATGGATAATTCAGTGCCGGGTTTGGGCAGAGTTTCTATCTAACTGTGGAGGCCTAAGCACTAAGACCCTATTAATCACCAGTTAAACCTAAAGACATTTAAATGTAGTGGGTAAAATGGCATATGCCAACCCCCAGCAGACCCAGAATTTTGCCACTGTGTAGCTATGTAAGATTTAAATCCTCTGGGATTGGCATAGCACAGGTTTTGGTGGATCCTCTCAGTCTGGTTAGGAAACAAACCCCTCTCCCAGCACTCTCATGGGAAGATTATGACAGAGAAGTGCTGCAGGGCAGGCTCAAGAGCTACAGCAAGGGGCTGCAGCCTCTGTTCCAGACTCTTACTGGCAGTGTCTGAAGGGATGTGCTCCTCTTCAAGGTAGTATTTAATCTTCTGTAGATTATCTTCAGAAAACCTCCATCTATTCTCAGCTGGTGTGAATGGCACCTGCAGAGAGGTCTTTTTCCGGGCAGATCCAGAGGGAGGTGTTACGTGGCAACATGCAGGGAGTGAGCCTGTGATGAGTCCTTCTGGGATCTTCTGTGCTAGGACCTTTAGACCTGCAGATGGACACGTCACACGTTACCAGTGACCACCAGCTAGGATGGGATCAGTGACTGGACCAGTCCCAAGTAAACACTTGGCAGAGCTCAATATCCAACTCTTGCCAAGCTCCAGCTCACACAAAGCCTTGCTCTCTGCTCTTGATCCACCCTCCTGAGGTCTCAAGGGGTCCTGCCCATCCCCACTTACCTCCAGATAACATGAAGACATTCTCAAAGCCCCTCTCACACATGGATGTTGCGGCCTGGCTGGCTAATCTCTCATCATTGTCATACAGAATTATCATCTTCCCATGGGCATTTTTCTGCTAAGAGTTAAGGATTCATTTGGAAACTTCATGTAACTGTTAATACCCTTTTAGAGAGAAAAGGAGAGAAATGGGACTGGAGACAGAGAATCCCTGCTTGATCTGCAAGTATCATTATTTAAATAAAGTCTTCCCTGCATCTGTGATTTAAATCTGATTTCTGGGTGATGAGGCTTGCCAGACACAAAGGACACAGCCTAATCCCCACTGGAGTGCAGCCCCTGCAGCAAGTGTCCACCACTGTTCTAACACTGGTTAGTAACAGGCAAGAGCATGAAGCACCTTCATTTATAACCTCCCCTCTCCCCTGCAGTGCTCTCAGAAGAATTATCAGCGTAATCCTGCCTGATAATCCTCTTTCTAACCCTCAAAGAAAAGCCAATCCCCCATCAAGGTGCTGAGAAGGAGCTGAAGGATTTGATCAATGTGGATCAACAGCAGGAGATGGGAGCCCAAGTATGGCTTTGCCTTCCAGCAGCCAAAACCCCATGAAATGCCAAATTCAGTCAGCTCCCACTGGAGTCAAGAGGTGTTACAGCCTTGAGGAACTAGAATCTGGCATCTGATGGTGGCAGCAGAGCCTCACGAAGTAATCACAGTCAGCATAAAGGACCTCCTCTCCCACCTTCCTTGAAATGCCTGGATTTTGTTGAGCATTGTCCCAGTCACAGCAACTGCTACAGCTCCAACTGGTTTTGAAAGCCTCCCCCAACATCCCCCCCCCCTTATTTGTTTTAGGTCAGCACTTCATATGTAAAGGATACATATTCCAGAATACTATTTGAGTATGGATTCATGGCTCTAGACAGCATTGCAATAGGGTAGGAATAAGCTGCAGAGGAGATTAAAAGACAAAGAGAAAAATCATACAGCAGCTGAACATCAACCATCACACAACCTGGAGTACAACTGACACAGACTTGTTAAGGTTCAGCAGACATGGAAACCCACTGAATAAGGGATTAGCATCAGCTCCACACCATTATCCCTTTCCAGGAAAGATGGGTGTACTGGGTGAGTGCTGAGAGCATTCTGCACATAAGAATGTTCCATCTTGGGGGTTAAAATGAAGCCAGCCAGGATATGAGATGGAGCAGGAAGGATGATCCCAGCTGAGCCTGCTGTGGGGTTGTAGTCTCCTCACCTCCAATAATATGACATTGGTTATATGCGTCACGGTCTCGTACATCCAAAAGCAGGAAGGGGCAGTCAGGATAAGGTGTGTCTTTAGCCTCAGTTTCTTCTTTCTTTGGAGTGTCCTCCTGTATGCCCAGTTCACCAACACCACTTATCACACTGCAAGAGGAAAGAGGAGGTTATGGTACCAGCTCTCACTCTGAATGCTTCCATACCTTGCCACCAGTCACAGTTCCAATAGTCTACTGACATCCCAGTACCACCAGACACCACATAGAAATGGAGAGGGTCTATTTCACACTTTCCAGGACATCAGAAGAGACTGATTTTGTCATGATATGGAACAGAGTACAGCCTTGCTATGTGAAATGCCATACTCTTCTGGATCAATCAGTTACCAGTGGTTTATGACATGAAGTGAGGGAGAATGATATTAAGAAGCTGCCAACACCAAGATCATAGAATCACAGAATGGTTTGGGTTGGAAAGGACCTTAAGATCACCCAGTTCCAAGCCCCTGCCATGGGCAGGGACAGCTCACGCTAGACCCAAGATCTCAGCAAGTCAGACACACTGAATAACTGTCAGGCACCAGTGCTATGCAGAGGTTTCCCATTTCACCACTGCATTGGGTACAGGACATGAAGAGAAACCTCCAGATGGTCTTAGTGGTCACTAAATTGATGGCTTGAATACATGATCACTAGGTCTGTCAGGTGAGCATCTCAACTGTTAGCGTTTGCAAGGGAAGAGCCAAGACAAAGCTTCCTCTTACAATGTCTTTCTGGTACCTCTGACCTTGACTCGTGATGTAGTGGGTTTGGAAACTGGCCTTTTATTCTACCATGGAACAATGTGTTATCATCAGCAAGGCACATTACTGAGTTTACCAGAGCAGTTTATAACATGGATTGTTCAACCCAGGGACCTGGATCAAATCCCACAAATACATTTCCTGGTCACCCATTTCAGGTAGCCACAGGGCTGGGTTAGAGCCTCAAACCAAGCTCAGACAGGAAAACCTGCCAACCCCTCTCTTGCTCACACTTCCAGACCTCCAAACTCAGGCTTTAAAGAGAAATACAATATAAAGCTATTTAACAGCAATTAAGAAAACCCCTAGCTGGGTAAAAGGAATTATCTGCTATGACAGGAAAGAAATGGTGTATTATCATCAGGCACCTCTGCAGTGTGGAGCGATAGGAAACCCCAGCCCCTGCATTGTCTAGGGACAGGACTGGACTGGGTGTCCTATCAGGGCTTCCTTTCCCATTTGTCCCTTCTGTGACTTCAGCATCTGGATGTGGAGCAGCAGAATCACCATCTGGGGAGAGAACAGGGTGCAAAGAGTTAAAATGCTGCAGGAAATAAGCAGGTTTTAAGCCAGTTCCTAGTCTTAGGAGAAAGTGTGTCTCTCAAAGGCAGCCTTATTTCATCTTCTTATAAGGATGTTTTACTAACAGCCTCATATGAATAACAAAGAGCCATAGGATCTTTAAGGGTTGAAGATGTAATTTGAAGAATAAATATGTAGTTCTTGATGCATGATATCTACTGAGTTACTACAATAAACTTGGCAGCATGAGGATTTTCTTACTTTCAGCCTTTCTGGTTTAGGAGTGCTGCTGTCCACAAAGTGAAGTGGCTGCAGGCCAAAAATGAAGTTATTTTTCCCCTGCTGAATAGCCACCTCTGTCTGTCAGGACCCAGCTCACCACATGACAGTGATCTATATAGCTCCTTCTCTTTGTGCTTACAACAAATACTGTTACCTTCCAGCTTGTGGATCTCCTTGTTTGTCACTTCTAAGGTTTCATCAGATAAAGAGGCAACCTGGATGACCTGCAGGAGACAAAAGAGAGCAACAATACCTTGATACACATGCACTGATATCACTGCAAGAGAGCAGGGATCAGCTTAAGGAAAAACAGTCCTCGAGCCAAGACACCTTTAACTCACTGCCACTTCTACCGGACTTCAAGGTCACACAGAGGTGCGTATATGATGCTTGTACAGTGAGTTTGTCCTTTTATTAAGTGGAAGTTGTAGCAAAAAAAACCCAGAACACTCAACTTTGGAGGAAAGAAAAGCCACATGTTCCACACTGGTAATATCAAATACCAGAATGGTGTCTAACTTATCAAGTTCATTCACTAAAACATCTCAGAGCATACACTGCACTGGCTAAAATCACACATGGGATATTCCCACAGAGAGGATGTGGGATGTTCTCATGGTAAATCAGTTCACTGCACCAGTGAGAGGTACAGGACTGGTCTTAATCAGGGGAACTGAAGATGGGAGTCTGCTAAACCCAGTCCTTTAATATCTGCAATTTTAACATTCTCTCCTTAGGAGAGAGCTTGTCTTTTTCTAGTTTTTATTATGTTTTGTGAACTAACACATAAGCACTACTCAGCTCTTCATTTACAGGTCAAATTTACCAGCCTTTAATATTTGGATTCATTTGATTTAAAAACACACAGAAAACCTTCAAGTCAAGAACATTTCCATCGTGTGCAGTAGAACCCTCTGGTAGGGAGGGATTCAGGCTGTGACATAAAGCTTGAGGAGATCAGATTTGAACCTCCTTTACATAGCCCTCTTCTCTTATAAGAGGCTTAAAAATCCTCTTAAATGAAGGAACATAAAAAAATAGGGACTAAATTTCAAAGACAGAGTCACCAAAAACTTGAATTTGAAACTAAAACCATTTTTACCACTCTGAAAATATTGGCCTGAACAGTTTCCTTGTATTAAGGGCAATCTGTAAGGGCAGGATGAAGCCAGCACAGGAGTTACTAAGGCCACATAACTGGGGAGAGAACAGGGTACAGGGAGTTAAAACTGCAGGAAATAACAACATGAAAAATTGAGAGAGACAAAAAATGCTGCTCCTAAAAGATGACAACTTTCAGAGGCCACAGAGGGAACCATACATACCAACCGGGCAAAAGTGGTCACTCTCAGCCTTTTAAACAGCTCATCCTTTTTGTATCTGTAATCTTCAAAGAGAAAACAGAAGAAAAACAAGGTCAGTTTTCAGTTAATTCCCACCTTTTGTGGTACCAGCTCATGGGCTCAGTCCCAGCTATTCTCACAGACTCCTTTCACCAATGCAGCAGGATTTTGGGGCACTAAAACCTGAAGACTTTGTGAAAAGTAGTATCAGTTATAAAGAGAGATGTTGTCCAGATATGGTTAAAGTGGAGAAGGCAGATTTAGCTGCTTTTAGGCTCAAGTGTGTATCACTGTGTGTTTTCTCTTCTTGCTGGAGAAAGTTTCATGAATTTAGCACCTTTGTCTGCTGTTTTTTGAAGCAACTATGTCACAAAGCTTCTTAAACCAGATTAAGTTTACTGGGATCACAGAATCCCAGACTGGTTTGGGTTGGATGACCTTAAAGCTCCTCCAGTTCCAACCCCTGCCATGGGCAGGGACCCCTTCCACTAGAGCAGCTTGCTCCAAGCCCCTGTGTCCAACCTGGCCTTGAACACTGCCAATGATGGGGCAGCCACAGCTTCTCTGGGCACCCTGTGCCAGCGCCTCAGCACCCTCACAGGGAAGAGCTTCTGCCTAAGAGCTCAGCTCATTCTCCCCTCTGGCAGGTTCAAGCCATTCCCCTTCTCCTGTCCCTACAGGCCCTTGTCCCAAGCCCCTCTCCAGGTTTCCTGCAGCCCCTTTAGATATTGAATTTTTACTTTGTGCAAGTTACAGCAGGATCAGAGCACAAGGACATTCTATGTCAGACTCTGTCTTGTCAGGTACTAAGCTAAACATGCATATTTAATCTTCAGAGGCTCCAGGATTTCTTACTTTTATCTGTCAAATTCCAATCCCTACAATTCCCTGATATGGATATCTAGAGGAAGAGATAAATGAAAGGATTTCTTTCACGCAGAAAGCAGCAGCTCAGTGTGAATACCAGCTCAAAGCTGACACAATTGCTACAGAGAAACTGGACTAATTGAATCTTAAACCTGAAGACAAAGCTGAGGTAGGAAGGAAAGCCAGACAGCTGCTGGAATGACTGGCAGACAACCAGAGCAGAGATTAACAGCCCTAAGGAAGCAATGACAAGAGGCAGACTGCAGACAGATACTTGAGATGTGTAAACACGAGGGAGAGAAAAGCCTTCTAATGGGAAACAAAAGGGTTTATGTAGGAGGAGACAGAAGCAAAGATGAGTATCTGTAGGAACATCTTGATATAAAAAGCTTCCCATGGGAAGTAACAGAAGCCTTGTCCTTTGGGAAATTTACAGCTAGAAAGAAGATAGGAAAGAAAAGTGAGGGAAAATAAGAAAGATCAACGCTGCACTGGCAGGGAAAAGCAAAGATGAACACAACTCCTCCTGTGTCAGGCATTGCAGCTCTAACAGAGCTCTGCATGAAGCTCTTGAAGCCACACTAAGGAATCTAAGCTTCTCTTTTCCTCCTCCTCCCTTATGAGGTTCAAGCTCTGAAGTCAAGAGATTTTTATATTTAATAAAGAAAAATCCTTTGCATGTTTCTAACTGTTGGAGGAGGTTCCAAAGTGGTCTCCCTTCAGCTAAGACAGATAACAGAGAACAGACTTCAGCAACAGAGAACAGGACCTTCAGCAAATCCAGCCAGTTAAGCAATTTTAAATCCCCTATAACCATCTGCTGAACGCTCCATTAGCTTAAGCAAGGAGGAAAAAGGGGGAGGAAGGTCTCAGATCCATACGCCTGAATCCACTACACCAAAAATTACTGCCAAATTAGCTTAGGGAAATGCTCAAGCTGACATGTGTTTAGAGAAGGAGCCGCATGAATGCTGGAGGCTGAGATCTCTTCTCAGTACAAGTGGTGACAACGCTTGGACAAGATTCCCCCCATACACAACCTATGGAACCTTATAGGAGCAAAACAGAGACAAAAAGAAATTGTGAGTTTTAATCTCTGGTTTGGTCTTATTCTTATCCCTTCCTTCTTAAATATGCTTCCTGAAGAGGCAGACCAAATGCTTTTCAGAGGTGAGACCAAGCAGAGCTCCTAAATACAACATTCTATGCTATAAAATGTTTATCAGGCAGCAAAGCAAGTGCCTACTTGCTACTCAGCAACTTACCTAAGGAAAAGGAGCCCATCCAAAACATCCCTATGCACTGCAGGGTGCACTACATTTCAAACTATGGGGCTGAATCAAGTACAAGACCTATGCATAAACTAGATTTCAGAATGTCCATGCACTTGAAAATGAACTTGGCTTCAAGCCTCAGGTTCAGGTTGCTAAAGTCTCACTTTCACATTAAAATAACAGCAATAATTCAGTCCATTTCCTCTGCCTGACACAAAACCCACGGGTAGCCCATGCCCATATGGTTAAACCACCCCAGACATGGGCAAAAAGAGCCCTTCAGTCATGTGAAGAGCAAGAAATCAACTTAACTTCGGAGGATAAAGAAAAGCAGAAAGTTTATGAAGAGCTGGATGCCTATGAACTATGAACTACCCAACTATCACAGTGCTCACACAGAACAGCTGCTGGATGCTTTCTGCCCACCTCAAGTGAGCATTATTTATCTCTTTATGACCTAGATCTTACCTTTACCACCCAAAATTATTCCTATCAACAGGAAAACCAGCCCAAAGCTGGTGTTCTTACAACAAACTAATTTGACTGCTTTGCATGAACATCCCAGCAGTGTTCAGGAAGGTAGCAGGAAGTGCTGCTCCTGCCTACAGAGGCAACACAACGTACCCAGTTCTGTCCTGGAAGATCCACTGGAATTTTCTGACATTCTTCCCTTCAGTGAACTGCTTTGGGGCTGGAATTATTGTGGAATCAAGGATGTGCTCCTCAGGGCTTCAGAAAGGAGTGGAGATACCAGAAGAAGGGAAAAGACTCCGTGTCTCTCCTCAAGTCAATCCTCCAAAAGGAACAAATCATCGTGGTTCCAGCTCTCTTCATTTTAATTCCACAGGTTTAAATCCCTCTCTCTCACATTACACAAGAGACAGAGAGTTGCCTGTAGTGGGTATTTAAAGTTGTGTCCAAGTGGTGTCATCTATTCATGAGAAACCAAGGGGAAGAAGTTTCCAAATTGCCTGGGAACAGAAGGTGTCTATTCAGCCCAAAGAGAATGGGAAAGTTTCTGTTGGGTTCCAGAGCTGTGGTTCAACAAAAGAAGTCCTACATGAAACCAAATCAGACTCAGAGCAGAGACTGAAAAACCACCGAGAGCCATACAACAAGATCTGAAGCACAGAGAACAAGTGATGGCAAGCCAGTGTCAAGCACTGAAATCTTAGCCAGGCAACACAGGATTTTGGATAGAAAAGTCATTTCTCCTTTGATTCTCCCCCCAGATCTGTGGTGCTTAAAGCAAAACAACAAACAAGCCAGCAACAAAGGACCACTCTGCACAAAGCTGAGCTCTGATATATTCATGTGACCTGCCTTCTACTGCAAACAGCACCAGCTCAGAGGGGCAGAATAAATGGGTCCAAGAATTAAACCTGAATGTTCCAAATCAAATTAATCCTCATTAATGGGGATGGCTTTTGTTTTCCACAGCAAGAAATGCAGCTTTCTAGGTTTAAGAGCTTTCTTGGCTCTCTGTGTGAGAATAATCTGGACAATAGTAGTAAAATGTTTGCTTTTTAGTACGAGTTTTTCTTAAAGGTCTGTTTTCAGTGGAAAAAAGAGAGTGAAATAAGAATCAGTCACGTTTTCATCAGCCTGAACAAGCCAGAGGCTTCCAAGCATCAGTCTTTGGCTCTGGTGAAATCAAGGAGTTACACAGGAATGAGCAGAACCTTGGAGTATTCTGACAGAAATCCAAGTATGTTAAAACGACAGAAGTAAGAGATCTCTGTTACCCAAAAGCAAAATAAAGCCTCAGGAGCACAGTCTGAGTCTTCCCAGATGGGTCTAGTCTAGTTTTCTTAGTCCAGGGAACTTCTTCCTATCTGGTTTCCATTCAGTAGCAAGAAGTTGCACTAAGAAGGATCTGGAAAGACTCCTAGAACTGCCTGCCTGGTTTCTTAAGTTAAATCTGTCAAGCAGTAAGAGAGACAGAGAAATAAGGCACAAGACAAAGCAGAAAGCATCCAAAAATCAAGGTAGAAGCATCTTTGTATCCTACTGCTGCATGTTTCTGCTATTCCTTCCTGTAAATGGCTGTGGGAATCACTGGAGCAGAGATTTCCAAGCACATGGAGGGCCTGGGATTCAATCCCTGCTCCTTGATGCTCTTCCTGTTTGGAACTAACGCACCAGTTACATTCTACTCCTCTCAGATACTCACTTCTTTTGACTTTTGCCAACTTCTCAGTGTATTTTGTCAAGCTGTGCCCTGTAAAAAGAGTAAAAAGGGGAAAAATAAAGAGAAAGATGAAAAGGGAGGGGGGGAATAAGGGGGGAAAGAAGAAGAGGGGAAAAAATAAGGGAAAAAGAAGGAGGGGTGGGAAAATGGGGGAAAAAGAAAGGGTGAAGAGGGGGGGAAAAAGGGATCAGTTTGTTACAATTTATTTTATTAGTGCTTTTCTTCAGGGCTTTTAAGTCTTAAATTTAGATTTTTTTAAAGAAAAAGATCAGCCTACAACAACAGACGTTGCTGCAGATCCTCTTTCACCATGACAACAAAAGGCAGCCATAAATAAGAGCATAATTTTCCTCCTAGAAATTTTCTGTCACAAAGAAAAGCCAAACTAAACAGCAAAGTCAAAGGACCTGCTGAACCCCTGGGAACAGGAGGTGAGCCTTAGGTTAAAGCCCAGGTGAAAGTCACTACAGATGCTCCACACCAGGAGGAGCTCAAGTCTTCTACACATACCTACAGTGCTGCTTCAGTTCTACAGGATGTACCTGAGTGCATTTTATAGGATTTCCAGTAAGGGGGGGCAGAAATATCATGGAATGGTTTGGGTTGAGAGGGACCTTAAAGCTCCTCCACTTCCAACCTCCCATTGGCAGGGACACCTTCCACTGGAGAAGCTTGCTCCAAGCGCCATCCAACTTGGCCAATCCCTGAAGATACCCCTCAAACAACCATCCTGACTTACACCATTGTCAAGATATTAATTAATACAAGAAAACTACAGAAACTCCAAGACCAGCAATTTCCATGGGAACTGTCACTGCAGAGCCCAAGATTCTAAGCTACAACACATCATAATCAGGATGTGAATTCTGATATAGCTGGTATGTGGGGTAAAGCAGCTCAGGACAGAGGCAGAAGACACTCAGCATGTTTTTCTATGCACCTACGTCCACATTTGGTGTTGTTACACTACAGTGTCATTCACCAGCATCAGCTTCACTTACCAGTATCGAGGCGGGTTTTTATATGCTGGTATTTGGGATTCTGAGGGATGCGCCTGGTTAAATACTGGTTTACAAAAGAAAATATACAAGGAAGTCAATGTATAGGTATTATTTGTTTTAAATACAAAATATCTCTCCCATTAACAGGAAAGGCAATCTGAAGTGGTCTAAGAGACAGCAAAAAGAGAAGCAAGACCATAGGCAACCTCTCAGACATCCCCTGCTCTCAGAATCATACAATCATGGAATGCTTTGGGTTGGAAGAGACCTTAAAGCTCGCCCAGCTCCAACCCCCGCCTTGGGCTGGGACACCTTCCACTAGCCCATTTCCCTTCCTCTCTCCACCACAACTCACCCAGCTCTAACCCCATAAACCCCCCCCATCCCCACTCCCACCTCTGCAAGCTGCCGACACACCCCCGCCAATCCTCCCGTTACCCCTCACATCCCCTCAGGACAGGGGCCCGGCCCCCCGCAATCCACCCCAATCCCCGCCGCAAGGGTGCTGGTGAAGGGAAAGCGAGGCTGAAGAAAGGATCCCGTCACCCACCTCAGGGTCCCCGACACTGCTCCGGCTCGACATCGTCCCGCCGCTACCCGCTTACCCAACCACCCTCCACGTTCTGACGTCCAACCCCTCAACTACGCCAGCTTTGATTGGCCTGCCCTCTCTCCCCGCGGCCAATCAGAAGGCACAGAAGGGACGGCGAGCGGTTGAAGGGGGGACTGCGGTAAGCCTCAGACGTCGCCGGGCAACGGCTTCCACGCGCTGTGACGCAGAGATGGGAGGAGCGGCGCATGCGCAGTGGGGGCCGGCCCTGCCCCCGGAGAACCATGGTGGAGCGCGAAGGCGGCAGCTGAGGCGGGTGAAGCGCGCGCACAGGGTTCCCCCCTACCCACGTTGAGGCCACGCCTACATGAGGGCGGGGCCTCTGCGGTGGGCGGGGCCTCTGCGGTGGGCGGGACATGAAACCCCAACGGCAGGGAGGGAGGAGGCGTGGTCTGAGAGGAGCACGTGACGCCTCGGCGGGGCGGGTGAGGGGGGCTTGTCCGAGGGGCGGGGCTTGTTCGAGGGGCCGGGCCTTGTGGGGGTATGGGCGGGGCTTATTCGGAGGCGGGGCTTTGAGCCTTATCCCCTCAATGGGACCGCACATCCCCAGCGCCCCAATGGGGTCCGTGTCCCCCCTTAAACCCTCAGTGGGGCCGCACAGCCCCAGAGCCCCAATGGGGTCCATGTCTCCTTAGACCCATCAATGGGACACATGTCGCCATTTAGACCTGTAGTAGGGTCCACGTCCCCCTCAGACCCCCAATAGAGCCACAGAGCCTCAGCCCTCCCAATGAGCCCAATGAGGTCCATGGCCCCCTCAGCCCCTCAATGGGGTGCATATCCCCTTTTAGACATGCATTGGGGGACCCATTATCCCCCTCAGGCCCCCTATGCAGCTCCATTCCCCCTCAGACCCCAAATGGGGACCACATCCATCCATTAGACCCCAACTGGGGCCCACACCACCCCTAGTACCTTAACCTTGAGACCCCTTGATGTCATGGACCTGTCCCTTGGTAGTTTTGGGTTGGGTTATGGGGATACTAGAGTTAATGGGACAGATCCCTATGGAGATGTGCCTCATTCCCACAGGATGAAGGAGTGGTGGATGCAGGTGGTGCAGAACAACTTCTAGAGAGGTGATGTGGCTGCACCAACACCAGGGACACATCGTCCATCATGGTGGGGAGAGGGGTGGTGACTCTGGTACCCTCGGGTGCACCCAGGGATGTCTCCAAGGCAAAGCGATGGCAAATCCCTCCCAGACCACAATGGCTTTAAGGGGAGCTGCTGCGTGGATCCAGGTGTGCTGTGGGTGTTCATTATCAGAGCACAGAATGGGGTGATCGTGGAATAAACCAGGTTGGAAAAGAGCTTTAAGATCATGAAGCCTGTTCCAGTGCCAATAAGGGAAAAAGAAGGAGGGGTGGGAAAATGGGGGAAAAGAAAGGGTGAAAGGGGGGCGGGGAAAGGGATCAGTTTGTTACCATTTATTTTATTAGTGCTTTTCTTCAGGGCTTTTAAGTCTTAAATTTGGATTTTTTAAAGAAAAAGATCAGCCTACGACAACAGACGTTGCTGCAGATCCTCTTTCACCATGGCAACAAAAGGCAGCCATAAATAAGAGCATAATTTTCCTCCTAGAAATTTTGTCACAACGAAAAGCCAAACTGAACAACAAAGTCAAAGGACCTGCTGAACCCCTGGGAACAGGAGGTGACCCTTTGGTTAAAGCCCAGGTGAAAGTCACTAGAGATCCTCCGCACCAGGAGGAGCTCAAGTCTTCTACACATACCTACAGTGCTGCTTCAGTTCTACAGGATGTACCTGAGTGCATTTTATAGGATTTCCAGTAAGGGGGCACAGAAGTATCATGGAATGGTTTGGGTTGAGAGGGACCTTAAAGCTTCTCCAGCTCCAACCCCTGCCATGGGCAGGGACCCCTTCCACTAGAGGAGCTTGCTCCAAGCCCCTGTGTCCAACCTGGCCTTGAACACTGACAGGGATGGGGCAGCCACAGCCTCTCTGGGCACCCTGTGCCAGCGCCTCAGCACCCTCACAGGGAAGAGCTTCTGCCTAAGAGCTCATCTCAGTCTCCCCTCTGGCAGGTTCAAGCCATTCCCTTTGTTCTGTCCTGTCGTGGTTTAAAATCAGTCAGGCAGCTCGTTCACTCCCCCCCTCCTTTCCCTCCTTCTTTCCTTCTCCCCCCACGCTGCTCCTGGAGGGATGGGGAGGAGAATCGAGAGAAAGTAACTCCCACGTGTTGAGATAAGAACAGCCCAGAAACTAAGGTATAACACAAATCACTACTGCTACCACCAATGATGATAACGATAAGAGAAAATAACAAGGGAAGAGAATACGATACCACCCGCCAAAACGTGTCCGATTCCAAAAGAGAGCCCCGTGCCCTTCCCAGTAACTCCCAGTTACCTCCTGGGCATGGCGGGCTGAGGAGATGAGCATCAGGATACCATAAGCTTGGAGGTTGTGTGGGTTTTAACTGCTCATGTTTGAACTTTCTTAGTGTCCTTTTAGGAATAAGGGGTCTTTTCTGAGTAAGCAGCCATCATGGGTTACTTTTTCTGTACTGAAACAGCCAGAACTAGAACAAGAAATGTCTATTTTATTACCAGTACTTCAGATGAATTCACCACTTGGACCAGGGTTTATTTTCTGTTAATAAAAATCGATTTTGACAAAAGTCTGATGCCATTTTTCTTCCCACCTGCCTCTTTTCCCTTCCCTGCTCTACTGCAAGTGGCCAGAGATGCAATAAGTTAGATGGGAATGTAGAAGTGACAACAAGGGAAGGGACATGGGAAAGGCTCAGTTCCAGCCACCTATTGCCACTACTGTAACGTACAAAATATACCAAATGGAGGAGTAAAAACTACATGCAGAAGGGCAGACAGGCTGCTTGATAGCTGGTAAATACCCAACCAGTGCTTGCTAAGGGGGTTTCCACCACAGTCGGGCTGTAACACTCAGCCTACAGAAGCCAGGATGACATCTACAGGCGTTTCTTCTTTGCTCCTAACAGTCACCTGCATGGTGACACCGTCTCCGAGCGCGAGCCTGGACCTCACCAGCACATCACAGCCACCTCTGTAGACACCTGAGGGGACAAAGCAATGTTTGAGAGTGGCTTTAGGAGATGACTTGAAGAGATTTTCTTGTAGACATCACTTTAGGACAGGCTCAGTGATCTAGATGACCCAGGAGCCATTTACAGACAACACTGAGTCTATGCCAGTTGCAGAGAAGGGGGAAATGACTAACAAATACCCAAACCCCCAATTTCTCCTAAGCTCTTGAGGCCAAGACCAGAGATAACAGATAATGCTGTAATGAAAGAGAGTCAGCAAGTGCTGCTGGAGGGCTTGGCAGACTTAAATAGGTAAAAAGCAGAAAGTGGGTAGCTGAAGCTCACTTCTGGTTTGAGAAGGCCACACACACTGCAAGGCTAGTACACTGGCTCAGTTCCCTTGCCCTTAAGGGAGATATAGTCCTGAGGATGGAGCCAGGAGGGGCTCTGCTCCCTCTGGTCCAAGGAACAAGGGATGGGACAAGAGGAAACAGCCTGAAGTTGCACCAGGGCAGGTTTAGATGGAGATGAAGAACAATTCCTGCCCCAAAGGGTGCTCAGGCATTGGAACAGGCTGCCCAGGGCAGGGCTGGAGTCACCGTCCCTGGAGGGATATAGAAGACATGTACATGTGGTGCTTAGGGACATGGTTTAGTGGTGGCCTTGGCAGTTCTGGGTTAACGGTTGGACTCAATGACCTTAAGGGTCTTTTCTAACCTAAATGACTCTAGGACTCCCTAAGAAGCCGTGGGTACTGCAGGTCAATTCAGGATGTGTCTGTAAGACAGTCCTAAGAACCCCCTTCCAAGATAAGCACAGGCAAGGAACTTAGGCAGGTATCTGCTCTGAAAGTTCTTCATTCAAAGGATTCACTACCATTCCCATAGGCAGAATACATCCATTCTGATCAACACAGAGAAAAACCTCTCAAAGTAAGAGCAGAATCTCCCAAACCCATTCCCCTCCCTTTAGTAAAACCCTGTGGGGACACAGAGCCATGGAGCTCTGCAGTGTGAGTACTTACCAGCTAAGTAGAGCGTGTGAGAATTCTTGTTCTCTGGCACTTTATCTGACCTCTCACAGGGCTGCATGCCCAAGAACTTGATGATGTTATTGACAGCTTCTGCATGCAGAGATTGAGGGAGAGAATTACCTCCAGCTTAGTGCCAAGCTTTCTTCTCCACTAAGCACCCATGTGGGTTAACCATTCCCATTCAGCAGCTTGACTGCAGCCCCATCAATACTCCTACTTTGCCATGTCTGCACAGCCCAGGAACACACCCCTTCCTCCACCCAGTTTCAGGAGAGCAATGCCAAACTTCCACTCACTATAATCCCAGCATTGCAACACAAAACCTTGTTGCTGGGACATGACTTCCCACTGGAAGGCACCAAATATATCCCCAGTGTGCCAGATTTACCAGGATTACTATGTGGGTCACCAATAAACAAGGAGAGATCATCTCACCATCAAGGGTTTGAATGGAACTAAGTGCAAAGGTTTCTTCTTTCTCAAAGTCATCTCCCATTTCTTCCCATGCAGCTGCAAAGTTTGGCTTTAAAACCTTCTGAATATGATCAGACACGGTCACCTCCAGGTCTTCCAACTGACAGAAATGCAAAGCAGATTTTAGGCTTACAGAATATAAGGAGTTAGAGAAATGATCCTCGTCTTAGAAAGGGAAAGACAAAGAGAGGCAGCAGCATTTTGCCAAGAGAACCCTGGCATGCCTGGCTTTAACTGCAGAAGCATATAATACCAGCATATAAAAACAGAGAGGAAAAATAGTATTTATGGTGGTTATCTATAAAGCTTAAACACATTTACTCAAGCTTGTGTGAGGCTAAAAGAGAGCAGAAAATGGGGCAACACTTTGGGAGTCAAACCCCATTATAGCTTCTACTGGGCAGCTGAAGAGACACTCCCAGAATCCAGACGGAGCCTTTGCTGCCTCCAAGCCCCCAAACCAGGCACTTTCCTGAGATCAGACTTGTATTTCCATGAACACAATAAACAGAAGTACAAACGC